ATATTTTACCACAAAATAGGGTATTATAGTGTGTGTGCGCACACTAAAATTAAAAAATGGTTTGCGCAATTGTCGACATAAAAATTGCAACAACTATCCACATAAAATCATGGAAGCATTCCATGCCTTCTATTTTCAGCTCTACTAGTCAGGCAGAACGGCAGACTCAGAGAGGGTGGATGCCATTTTTGAGGGGTTACCTATTCCAAAACTGAAGGTAGCACATCAAAATAGGTTAGAAACCCTGATCTCCACTGAGAAGGTGCTGGGAGTGATCAAGCAGGCAAAGAGGGGATCTGCATCTGGCCCGGATGGTTTCTCTGCCTTCTACTATAAGAAGTTTGCTGCACGACAGGCCCCATATCTGGCCATACTCTGTAATACATTGTGAGACGGGGACCCGCTGTAATTTGAACACAGCATTCATCACAGTGATACCAAAACCCTCAAAGGGGAATTGGGTAATTATATTTCAACAATGATCTGAAATTCATGACCAAAATTTTAGCGAATTGACTGTCCTCTTTTGTTAGTTTATATATTCAAAAGGACCAGATTGGATTCATTCTGGGCAGAGAAGACCCTGATCATATCTGGAGGGTGGTAGACATTGTATCTCTGCTTCAGCCTGAATGGGCAGGTGGTACTCAGGAGGGTTTTCTATTGTCTATTGACCTGCAAAAAGCATCTGACACGCTCTCCTAGCCATATCTCTTTAGAATACTAACCAAATGGGGCTTTCGCCCTTGTTTTTTGGGAGTCATGAAGACACCCTACTCATGCAGACACAGGCTCAAGTGCGACTCCAGAGCTATATATCTAGACTGATATCAATTGCATGGGGCAAAAGACAGGGTTGCCCTCTGTCCCTAATTGTGATCATTGACCATGGCCATCTAGACCGACCTAGACAGTCATAGGGTGCAGTCTGGCGCACAGGAGCACAAGTGTGCCTTGTTTGCAAATGATCTTCTCCACTTTATCACATCTCCATTCATTTCCATGCCCAATATTCTAAGATTACTTCAGGAGTTTTGGGCGGTCTCGTGGCTAGAAATAAACACATCCAAATATATGGCACTAAATGTGATGGTCCCCTCTGTACTGCTTGATCATTTTAGAGGTGATTTCCTTTCATTTGGAACGAGACCAATATCCCATATTTGGGAATTCAACTTACTGCTAATATTAACTCACTATACACCTACAATTATCCACCCTTACTCAAGAAACTGAAGGCTCATTTCCTGACTGGGCAGGATCCATACTTTTAAAATGACATTATTACTCTGCCTCCTTTATTATTTTTTTTTTCCCGCTCCCTCCCGATTCCAATTGCTCACTCAATTCTAAATAAATTCCGATCTAAAATTATTAGGTACTGTATGTGTGGGGTTAGGAATGACACCAATTTTCTAAACCGATTTTGTTTAAACCCGAAACTAAATGGGGGCTATGGCTACCCAGCCTGTCTGTATATTACCAAGCCACACAGCAGACTCAGATTTCTGTTGTTTACTCCCGTTTTTCTAAACCTGATTGGGTCCAGATGGGGAGGCAGGCTATACCCTGGACTATTTGTTCTGGTGCCCTCCTAGGAGACAACCCTCTATACTGGTGCCTACCCTTTCACACTCCTTTGCATTGTGGGACAGGCTATGGCATAATCCCACTTTAATCTCGTTTACTCCCTTAGCACATATTTTTAATAACCCGCTATTTCCACAAGAACAGGCTATTAAGGGGTTCCAGTAGTGGCTTGATAAAGGGCTCTATAGAATCTATCATCTATCTTTTTTTACCCATAGGGGACCAATCACACTTAGATTTTGTGAGGAAACCCTTGAAATGTCTTCTATGGAACGCTTTTGATTTTTTAAGATTGCTCACTTTCTGCGTTCCTTCCGGCCAGAGGGACAGGTTCCCTATAGAGTCACCGCATATGAGAAATGGTGTACACAGGACTCAGGAGGGCATATCTCTCATTTATGGACTACTTTTGGGCGCCCCTCCTATTATATTCTAGATTGGGAAAGGGATCTCCTAGAGAACAAAGACCTTGACTTTTGGCATAAATGCTTTCCAAGATTATTTACTGGTATGCGGCTTTAAAAAGGTTATAAAAACTGCAGGTTTTTTACCTTCATGCATTCTGTGCAGCAGTGCCCCCAGCCCCCTCAATACTTACCTGAACCTCATTGCGATCCAGCGATGTGAATGACAGCCTCGGCTGTCCCGGGTCTCTGCCTCTTCATTGGCTGAGATAGCAAGCGGGAGCCAATGGTTCCAGCTGCTGTCAATCATAGCCAGTCAGCCAATGAGGAGATAGAGGGCCAAGCCACAGCTTTGTGTGTGAATGGATACACAGAGCAGCAGGTGCCCTCATAGCAAGGTGCTTGCTGTGGGGGCACCCGACAGACAGGAGGAGCCAGAAGAGCCTGCGGGGGACCCAAGAAGACCCAAAACTACTGCACACAGTAGGTAAGTATAGACATGTTTGTTATTTTACAAAAAAAGAACCTTTACAATCGCCTTAACGGAAGCTAGTCTGAAGGTTGTCACCCGATGGTACCTAGTCCCAACACACTTAGCTAAAATGTATCCCTCAGCCTCTCCATTATGTTTCCAGGGATATGAGCTGGTTGGTTCTGTGTACGACATATGGTGGGAGTGTCCTAGGATCCGTACCTTTTTACAATGGTATCTTTGCTTTGTTGCAAAGGGTCCACGGGAGTGTTGGTTCCACAAACACCCCAAATAGCCCTTCTTAATGTACCAGTTGAGTACGTGCCTAACAAAGTACAATGCTTGATTTTCTTTATTTTGTTGGGGGCCAAGATGACAGTCGCTGAAGCTTGGAATCAGCCCTCTGTGTCTCTAGCACAAGCAAAGAAAAATGTTTCTTGGATCATGCTGCATGAAAACCTGGCAAGAATCCTACAAGACAGGGTTAAGAAATTTTAAACTACCTGGGAACCTTGGGCTAAATATCTCAATATTTCATTTTAATCTTAAGAAAGATCTAGAGGTCTACTGGGGTGTGTGTTTTCTCTCCACCTCTTAGTCCAAATCTACCACTATATTTCTTGGCCTTCTCCTCGTTTACTTTTCTTTTATTTCCCTGTCAACCCTGGATATCGGGGTTGTGGTCAGTTCTCTGAAGACTCTCATCTGAGAGATTCCTGCCTTATGTGTGTTATCTATGCTATATTCACAAATAGTGTTACTTATTTCCTTTGTTAATATCCCAGACTTGGTATAATGTTTAAGTTGCATAGACACTGGAGAGGTGATGATGCCACAAGGGCCAGAATATATTCCTTTGTCTAGAGGATGCCTGTGCTGTAACTCATTATGAAAAGTTTCTTGATACATAAAAGATAATACAAATGTTGAAAGTAAAAAAATTTTAACCGCTACCCTTTTAATCTCCATGGTCTGTGCTTTCAAAACATTAATCGTGTTCGGGGGTTCTTAGTACTTTTCTAGCAATAAAATGCCAGTTTTTACGTGTATGTGAGAAGTGTCAGATTTGTCCTGGGAGTCAAGTGGTTGAAGTGGGGGCATCTAAATGCGGAAAACTTGTTTATATTTCCCAGATCACTTCTCCTGCATTAAGAACATCTAAACTCAGGAGTACCAGTAGGAATGAGACTTTAGTCTTCAACCTCTACCTGGCAGGGCATATACCCAATGGTGTACCGGTCTGATTAACCAATTTACAAGCACGCTATAGCTGAAAGACGGCTATAGCATGGTTGTCCAGTTCTGGGAGGGCGTCATATGATTTCCTCCCTGAACATGTCCCCAGCGGCGCGCACCCGGCTCTGTCAGTGATCGCTGTGTCCTACAGGCACAGCTGATCACATGACTAGAGAAAAGGTCAATCTCCGTTGCCTTTTACCATGTGGTCAGCTGTGTCCAATGACATAGCAGATCACAGAGTAAATACAGTTGATGGTTATTGGCAGTACTTTCTTCATGCTGTCACGCAAATGTCAGAGCAGATCTTCACTGATAATCAGGGCATTGATGATCAGTGCCCAGCAGTGCCGCCTCTCAGTGCCCAGCAGTGCAGCCTAATGCACACTCATCAGTGAAGGAGAAAAATTACCTGTTTGAAAAATTTTATAATAGAAAAAAAGTTAAACTTTTTTTTTCAAATTTTTTGCTCTTTTTTTTTTGTTTATAGTGCAAAAAATAAAAACCCCAGTGGATGATTAAATATCACCAAAAGAAAGCTCTATTTGTGTGAAAACATTTTTAAAACATTTCATATGGGTACAATGTTTGCATGACCACGCAATTGTCATTCAAAGTGCAATAGCACTGAAAACTGAAACTTGGCCTGGGCATGAAGGGGGTAAAAGTGCCCAGTCCAGTAGGCAAGTGGTAAATAAATAAATCTTGCAGTAAGAAACATTCTCATGATCTTGCTTTGACATGTGCAGATCAAGGCTTCTTTAAACCTGCTCATTAAAGAAATAGTCTAAAGTGTTTTTCAAGGAAGTTTCTTTTACACAGGAGTTACTGTCTGCACTTCTGCAGCAGAGACTAGGATCTGGTGTATCCATGGCTGGAGATAAAGACAAGGGCGTACCCCTAACACCCAAACTGAAATGTTTGCGGACGAACATTTTACGTCCAAGATTCACAATTGGTTGCTACAGTAATACATTTTAGATACTTTAAGAGTTTTCTGACTCTCAAGAACCCTGCCATTTGTTTTAAATCTTTGCCAACCTGACATATTTTTGCAGATTTTATTTGCTACTGTATGATCCTTGATGAAGCCTGTTGATTGGCTTATGAATGATAACAAAGCTGTCAACTACAGCCTGCCATTTAAAATATTTACCTCCCTGTTCATCACTATGCAGAGCTCTGCCCGGCACTGCACAGCCAACTTACCAATGAAAATAGTTGGACCGCGACGCTCATTATAACATGCTTTTGTGTGTTAAACAGTCATAATAATTCTGTTTTCTGTATGTCGACAGGAAGAAGAAGAAGCCAGGCGTCAAGCAGGTGCCCAGTTTCCAGGTTTCCCAGGTACCGGCCTTTAAAGATTTAAAACCTATTACTATCGAGAACAAATACACACGTACAGTATGTATTTATGTATGTACATATACACACATTTATAAAGTACTGTGCACAAGTCTTAGGCAGATGTGATAAAATGCTGTAAATTATAGGAGAAGTACAGCCAAAGCTCTTTTGGCTGTACTTCTGTGGTAACAGGAGTGCAGTTTGTTATGCACTCCTGTGACCCATTTATAGCTGACATCGGGCCGTCAGCTGATGTCACTCAGCCAGTCCAGGCTGGAAAAAGATCCCGACTTTAAAGCCAGATCCATCCCAGAATTTGGAGCAGCACCTGGTTCAGCCTCTCAGTGATCCACAGAGAGCCTGATCTAGACACTCCCTGCAAAGCCCAGTGCTCCACTGAGCACAGGGGGGTCGGCAGAGCAGACAGCGGAGACTCATGGCTGTGAGAACTCAGCGATCAGTGATCATGTGATCGCTGAATTCTCACCTTTAGTTTCTTTGAGGGACAGATACAACATCAGACTAATGCTACATCCAACTAGGTATGATTTAAAAAAACTAAATAAAAACGAATTCCTATATTATTTTAAGATTGCTTTCAGAAATAGAAGTGTTATTCATTTATTTTTAGCAATTAACAAAATAAAAGTAAATAGAAGAAAAATCCATATCAAATCAATATTTGGTGTGACCACCCTTTGCCTTCAAAACAGTATCAATTCTTCTAGGTACACTTGCACACAGTTTTTGAAGGAACTCAGCAGGTAGGTTGTTCTAAACATCTTGGACAACTAACCTCAGTTCTTCTGTGGATGTAGGCTGCCTCAGATCATTCTGTCTCTTCATGTAATCCCTGACAGACTCCATGATGTTGAAATCAGGGGACTGGGGGGGGCCAAACCGTCACTTCCAGGACTCCTTGTTCTTCTTTACGCTGAAAATAGTTCTTAATGACTTGGCTGTATGTTTGGGGTGGGTGTCTTCTGCAGAATACATTTGGGGCCAATCACAGGCCTCCCACATGATATGGCATGACTGATAAGTATCTGCCTGTATTTCTCAGCATCGAGGACACCATTAATCCTGATCACATCTCCAACTCTATTTGCAGAAATGCAGCACCAAACTTGGGAACCTCCACGTTTCCTGCAGACACCCATTGTTGTACCACTCTCCAGCCCTTTGCAAACAAACTGCTGTTTGCTACAGCCAAATACCTCAAATCTTAACTCATCAGTCCAGAGCACCTGCTGTCATTTTTCTGCATCCCAGTTCCTGTTTTTGTGCGTAGTTCAGTCGCTTAGCCTTGTTTCCATTACTTATGTTTGAAAACATAGAAACTGGAGTGCAGAAAAATAGCAGCAGCTGGTCTGGACTGATGAGTCAAAATTTGAAATATTTTGCTTTTTAAAGCTATTTTTTTTTGGTTTATAATAACAGTATTGTCTCTTAGTGTTTTCAGTGTAAACTAATACTGCGTTTTTTTTAGGGGGATTTCCTGGTGGCTTTACTGGGATGCCAGGTGTCAGTGAAATTCTCTCTGACCCAGAAGTTTTGGCTGCAATGCAGGTATAAATACTAATTAGTTCTCCACCCACAGGGTATTTTGTTACATAAACATGTTTCCTAGCCTGCTGTCTTAGAATTTGGTTGCCAGGTGTGATCTTTTTGTTGAATTTCTGCTTTACAGATTAATACCCCTTAGAAGCAATTTAGTGTTTAAAGGGTCTGGCCAACCAAAACTGATATTTGCTATGGTGGTAATGTCATATTTAGCATATCTTGCACCTGTGGCAATTTATTCTTGTTCAATATTTTTATTAATTCAGTATAAGACATGGGTCTCAGAATACAAAAAGTGGTAATATGAAGTCTCGGAGCACAGGACCATCATGTATTAAGGCATTATCATTGACATCAATCAAATAAAAAAGGGAAACAGGTTAGCTGTCACGCAGAACACTAAGACAACAAAGCAGAGGAAGCAAGAGGGAAAAAAGGGGTGGTGTCACAGAACAACAGGCTAACTGTGCATGCCAAGCTGTGTTCCCTACTGGGCGATGAGAATCCACCAAGCCTATAAAATGAAAGCTTCAGAGAGACCAAGTCTAGGTGGATAGAAAAAAGAGAAAAGGGAGGTCCAGGGGGGGCAGGCTCTAGAGAGGGCAAGAAGAATGCTAAGCAAAGCTAAAGCAAAATGCTAGGGAAGCAGTAAAGATGGAAAAGAGGGGTGGTAAAAAAAATGATAGATCCAGGGCTGCCACAACTTTGTGCAATTTTCGACCCTAAACTGGAGGACTGCATCAATTTTGACATGAATCATAGCCTTAATAATTCTGTGCTTGGTCTTGATTATAACAAAGGAGTTAGGCTTCTAAGCCTTCGTTATGATTTGTTTGGCGGCCATAGTTATATGGAGAAGCAGATTAAATGTAATGCTAGTTAAGTTTGGAGGGTGTAAATTGAGTAACTGGTTAGCTATTGGGCAGGGCCACATATGTGTGTGCCACTATCCACACACCCTTGAAAACAGATTGGCAAATAATTTGGGATGGACTTGAAAAATCTAGCAGAGACTAGGTAACAGCAGGTCAAGACTTTGATTCATAAAATAATGAATAATTTACCGCGCTCTGATATTACCGTGCCGATACTATATACTTAAAAAATGCCACTAATTAATATATACTGTGACAATATCAACTTATCAACTGCATTACCAAAATTAATCAAATTATATTACCACAGTGTTTAGTAAAAAATAAAAAATGTGTGATTAAATCCAATAGTGATAATTTTACAATATAAATATCTCATTAAAAATAAATAAATAAATTCATAAAGTTCACTGTGCAAATGTGTAAAACAAAAAATGATTATAAATATCTCATTAGAAATAAATAAATTCATAAAGTCCAATGTGCAAATAGTGCAAAGAAAAAAAATAAATTTTATATATATATATATATATATATATATATATATATATATATATATATATATATATATATATAATAATAAATTTAAAAAAAAATTTAAATATATATAAATTTATAAAGTTCAACAGCAAAAATGTGCAAAAAAGGAAAATGTGCAAAAAAGTTTTTGAAGTTCAGCAGGGAGAAGATGCTGGTAATATACTCTCCTCTCAAGCTGCTTATGGTGGTGTGGATGGAAACCTACGGATTGTCTTCTGAGCCTATACAGGCATAAGGATTTCTCCCTCCTAGAGCCTCTCCTCACTCCAATGCTCAATGTATCCTCATATGACCCATAGGAGAAAAGAATAAAAGATATGGTGCCTTATCCAAGGTATATATAAACACTCTTTAATGTGCTCCCATATTGCACTCACATTGTTTCAAAAATAAGCACGCATGTATTGAAATTTAAGCCGCAGAGTGCGGTAATGATCAGCCTCGCAGGAGTGTTAACACACTCTGTCAGTACTCGACGTAATGATGATCCGATACGTGGTGACGGAGGGGAAGGGCAGTGACGTCACCTGAGCTAACGTGCACCACTATGAATATAACACACCCAGTGAACATAACTCACAATAAACACATTTATAACCACAGAGAAAAACATACGAAAATATATCAAATCAAAGCTAACACATACTGGCATTTGGAAGTTATAAAAGTAATACTTTGCATATATGTCTGAAGACCTCTGGAGCGAATAAAGTGGGAGATCAACCCAGATGCAGATCGACATCCCTTCTGAGGTTTAACCCCAAAGGTGATCTGGTCTGCAACCTGTGAATCCACCATGCTTCTCTCTGTAATAATTTACGATGCCTATTCCCCCTCTTGCTGACACATAAACTCTCTCAATGCCACAAAAATGAAAAAAGTAACATCTCCTCCATGAACTTCTTTAAAATGTCGTGAGACATTAGAAATTTGTTTTTGCTTGTGGGTTAATGGAGTCACAAAAATGTTCTCCAATGCAGGTTCTAAGTCCGCTTATAGTGCATCCCACATACTGCAGGCGACATGATGTACTGCATATGAGATACACCACATAGGTGGTCCCACAATATATAAAAGTTCTAATCATAAAAGATTCACCGGTATTGGGGAATCAAAACTCTTGGTACGTAGATTAAATGAGCAATATCTGCATGTTTTAACACCACAGGCATAAGAGCCCGTGCAGGAAAGCCAGGTAGATGATTTTGTTTTAGAGCTAAAATAACTTGGGTAAAGAAGCGTACCAAGTGTAGGTGATTTGGAGGGGTATCGCCATATTTTTGGCAATATAGTAGGTTAAAGATGCTGAGACTCAAGTGGTTAATATACCAAAGAAGCTGGAATAGGTATTGTTGGAAAGCTTATGTAAAAGTGAACTAACCCTTTAATGCTCACATTACATGCATTAATAGCCTATACTTATAATGGGTATTTCTTTATCCCACATAGGATCCTGAAGTCATGGCTGCATTTCAAGATGTAGCTCAAAATCCAGCTAACATATCAAAGTATAACACCAACCCAAAAGTGATGAATCTGATCAGCAAACTATCCAGCAAATTTGGAGGCAGTGCATAGGGTGTAAGAACACCTCAGAGACACAGCAGTGAAGAAAGAAGACCTCTTGGACTTTTTATGTACACATGGTGATTTTTTTCCATCTTACAATGCTTACAAAACTAAAATACAAAGTGTATCAATTGGCACAATGAACAGTTAATGTGATTGAAAAACAATGGCATACTTGTATTTTTTTTTATTTCCTGATGGGTTTACTATAAGAATGTTATTTCTGTCAGCAATATTTGAGATGCAATAAAATATACCAATCTGCAAATTATGCTGCAATGTTAATGGCTTGTGTACAGACTGTACTATTACTATTTGTTTTTTTCAGAACAGATTCCAGATCAAATGGATTATGCAGTCCTAAATTAACAAGTGAGGGTTCAGTATTTAAGTGAATTCAGATTTGATCTAAGATAAGATCTATTGTATTTGTTATTGTTGGTCTAAAAAAAATCCCTCTGTTTACATGATCTTGTCCTTTTTAATGATCCTGTATGCAGCTCGATACAATGTTTGTAGTCAGCCACTGGGAACTATACAGATCCAGGGCTATTCAGTTACCTCAGGCTTTCAGTTGTGTAATTATCACTCAAACATTCACCCTCCAACCTTCCCTTTGGTTAGAACACTTGGAACTCATTCTAGACACAGCCAAAGAAAGTCTTTTTTTTTTTTTTTTTTTCCCAAAACAAACTGGTCTCTCTGATCCTACGCTAAGGCCTTAAGTCATAGAAAAACCTCTGCCAGATTCCCCATGATAGTTCAGGGCCTCATGGTGGCCCCCTTCCAAGGCTGTTCCATTTGCCCAATTTCATTCACGGCCCCTCCAACACAACATCTTGTTGGATTAAACAAACGCGCTCCCTCTCTTGACCTCCCAATGCTTCTATCCAGCTAAGCAAGGAATTAGCTAGCTTGGTGGATTTCCAACCCAGCCTTGACAATGGGGAATTCCTACCATACCAGTGGAAGCTTTTAACAACAGATGCCAGACCCTCAGGCCAGAGAGGATTGTGCCAATCTCCCAGAGTTCGGTGAATATTGCCATCCAAAGAATCCAAGCTTCCTATCAACATCCTGAAGCTCAGGGTGATAAAAATGGTTTTGCACCACTAGACTCCTTTTCTTTAGTGTGCAATGAGATAATGCTACGACTGTGGCTTAGATCAGTCACTCACATAAATTGCCATGTCATTATCACAACACCTAAGATGTAATTAACCCGGGTAAGTTTACCAGTACACATGGGTAACAATATACAGCAGTGGTCTCCAAACTGTGGCCCGGGGGCCAGATGCAGCCCTTTGCTTGCTTTTATCTAGCCCTTGGGGCAATATTTCATCCTCAGACACCAACAATGGGGCATAATCCCCTTCACTGAAACCAATGAAGGGGCACAATTCCTCCCAATGACATTAACGATGGGGCACAGTTCCTTCCAATGACAGCAATGATGGGGCACAGTTCCTCCCAATTATACCAATGATGGGGCATGATTCTTCGCACCCAATGACACCAACGAGGGGGCTCAATTCCTTTTACAGACATAAAAGATGGGGCATTGTTTACTCCCACTGATGTCGGCATTTTCCACTTCCAATGGCCACAGTCCAGCCCTTCTAAAGTCTGAAGGACAGTAAACTGGCCCTTTGTTTGGAAAGATTAGAGACCTCTGATTTACAGTATATGTATAAATTTTGTGATAAAGCCTCCTTCAATAATGACTACTGGAGATGACAAAAATGAATATAAAGGTTTGCCATTATGCAGCCAAGAAGAGTGGCCCATCTCATCAGTGGATGCTGTCCTTAACAGTAAACATTAAATCATAAAGCAGTATAAAATTCCCATCGCATTTATGTCAGGTCCTCCCTAACCCCCCCCCTCCCTAACCTTCTCCTCCTTCGAGGCTCACTGCATCCGGCTCTTCTCACCCACCCCCCTAAGGATCGCAGTGATCTACAGGCCCCCGGATCCATAGCCCGCTTCCTGGATGACTTCGCCGCCTGGCTTCCCTTCTTCCTCTCCTCAGAGCTACCGACCATCATCCTCGGGGACTTCAACATCCCCATCAATGACAACACCCCAGCTACCTCCCAACTCCTCCACCTAACCTCCTCCTTCACACTCACACAATACACTCAATCCTCCACCCACATCAATGGGAACACCCTGGACCTCGTCTTCTCCCACCTCTGTACCCTTAACCACTTCACTAACACCCCCTTACCTCTCTCCGACCACCACCTCCTCACGTTCTCCACCTCCCCTTCCCCTAACTCCCCCCCCCCCCCCCCCCCAGTGCGCCAAACCATCACCAGCCGCAACCTGCACCCAGCCCCCCCCTCCACTCGGCTGCCGACCGCTTACACGACAGCATCCTTCCACTGTCATGTCCTGACCTAGCCACTAACACGTACAACGACTCACTATCAGCTACCCTAGACTCTCTGGCACCCCTAACCACACGCAACATCAAACCCAGACCGCTCCAACCATGGCAGAACGACCACACTAAATGCCTCAAACGTCGCAGCCGTGCGCTGGAGAGACTATGGCGCAAAACCAGGTCCCCTCATGCATTCTCCCTCTACAAATCTGCCTTCCTCACCTACACCTCCTCCCTCCACGCCGCCAAGCAGGCCTACTTTGTTAACCTGATTAACACCCTCTCCACCTGCCCTCGCCGACTCTTCTCCACCTTCAACTCCCTGCTCTCTCCCCCCCCCCCCTCCACTTAGTACCTCACTCACCGCCCACGAAATTGCCACTCATCTCCACAACAAGATTGACGCAATCCGCAAGGACATAGTCAACTTGCAATCTACCTCCCCATCTAGCCTCCCCCCTTCCATCACCCCCCATCATCTCTCCCCTCCTCTGACCTCGCAACGGCACTGCCCCCCACCACACCCAAGGCCCTGCCTACCGTAACCCCCCCATCACTGCACTCCTTCAGCCCTACTACCACTGAGGAAGTCAGCAGAGTCTTCTCAGAAGCCCGCCTCACTACCTGCCCCCTGGACCCTATCCCCTCTCAACTCCTCCGGTCACCCCCCTCTTCCCTCATCCGCTCCCTTACCCACATCTTTAATCTCTCCCTCTCTACTGGCGTCTTCCCCTCCCCCCCTAAAACATGCGCACATCACCCCCATACTCAAAAAAAAGCCCTCCCTGGACCCCACTGACCTCAACAACCTCAGACCAATTTCCCTGCTGCCACTCACTTCCAAGCTCCTTGAGCGCTTGGTCTTCGATCGCCTAAGCGCCCACCTGACTGACAGCAACCTCCTTGACCCACTACAGTCCGGCTTCCGTCCCCTACACTCCACCGAAACTGCCCTCCTCAAAATCACCAACGATCTACTAAAAGCCAAAGGCGACTACTCTGTCCTCCTCCTCCTAGACCTCTCCGCGGCCTTTGACACAGTCGACCACCCCCTCCTCCTTAATAAACTACTCTCCCTTGGCATCAGAGACACCGCTCTCTCCTGGTTCTCGTCCTATCTATCCCAACGCTCCTTCAGCGTTTCCTACAACGGTGCCACCTCCTCCTCACTCCCCCTCTCTGTTGGGGTCCCCCAGGGCTCTGTCCTTGGACCCCTTCTCTTCTCCATCTACACCTCCTCCCTTGGCAAACTCATACACTCCCACGGCTTCAATTACCACCTCTATGCCGATGATACTCAAATCTACCTATCCACCCCTCACCTCACCCCCACATTCTCCGCCCGCATCACTCACCTCCTAAACGACATCTCTGACTGGATGTCGCTCCATTTCCTCAAACTCAACCTCTCCAAAACCGAGCTTCTCATCTTCCCCCCAGCCCGCGCCCCCCCCCCCCCCATCCTTCCATCACTACCAACAACCACCATCAATCCCGCCCAGCAAGCCAGGGTCCTTGGCGTCATTCTGGACTCAAACCTTTCCTTTCAACCTCATATCAAATCTCTCACAAACACATGCAGACTCCACCTCCGCAATATCGCCAAGATACGCTCCTTCCTTACCCCAGACACTACTAAACTACTAGTACACTCCCTGATTATCTCACGCCTGGACTACTGCAACTCCCTCCTCACCGGCCTACCCCAGTGCAGGCTCTCCCCGCTTCAGACCATCCTGAACTCAGCGGCCAGACTCATCCACCTCACCAGCCGCTCCACCTCTGCCACCCCCCTCTGCCTCTCCCTCCACTGGCTCCCCATTGCCCAACGCATTAAATTTAAATTGCTCACCCTGACCTATAAGGCCATTCACAACACTGCCCCTAACTACCTCACCGACCTGATTCCCAGGTACCACCCTACCCGTACCCTTCGCTCTTCACAGGACCTCCTTCTATCTTGCTCCCTGGTCTCCTCCTCCCACGCACGACTGCAAGACTTCTCCAGGTCCTCCCCCATCCTCTGGAACTCAGTACCCCAATCCATCAGACTGTCACCTTCCCTCCTCACCTTCAGGCGCTCCCTGAAAACCCACCTCTTCAGGGAAGCCTACCCCACCCTCACCTAACAGCCGCTGCCCTTCCCTCCTCCTACCACTCCATCCCCCACAGCCGTTTCCTCCTGTGCCTCTACCCCCCCTCCCTCCTAGATTGTACGCTCGAAAGAGTAGGGCCCTCTAACCCCTCGTGTGCTGTTTGATGTTACTGTTCTGTTTCATGTATTGTCCCCCCTCTATTGTACAGCGCTGAGCAAACCCTTTGGCGCTATATAAACTCGATAAACTCGATAAATAAATAAATGTCCATGTCTGCACTACTACAACTAAAACATGTCATAAAGCTTCACCTAATCCAGCATATGTAATGGCGGTTACCCAAGGCATTAAGTCAGTCAGATAGGCAAATCGTGGTAGCATGCTGGCATAACAAAAAGTATGTATGCAGTATTTTCTTATAAAGTATATGGAGCTGCAAGCCAGGATACAGATATGCTCAGAAAAGGTTGGCGAGATTAGCTAGCAGAGACGAGTAAGCATATAGCAAGGTAGTCCATGCAAGC